TTCCCCCCCAAGTAGTAAGCCAAGTCCCCCCTGTGTCAATTCACTTACCTTTGCTCCGCGCGTTCCTCTCGCCGTGTTCCCGCGCCGTTCCGGTCTTCAGGGCGGACTGTGAGAGGAGCCTAGCTCCCCTCACGTTCGTCACGCTGCCCCACCTACACATCCTGACAGCCAATGTATCACGCTCCGCGGGCTGGATTAAAAGGTCCGCCGGGCCGTAGTTTGCCCATTGCTGGGCTAGGGACTCTCACCGAAAGAAAGCTCAATTCGTGGGAAAAAAGGAGGTACATTTAATTTGGGTGCAGCGTTGTATGACTGTGCAATTGTCAGTTAAAGTAATGCAGCACACAGTCAGTGCCTTCTTTCAGTGTTCATCAGTGCCGCCTAACATTTTTAATCAGTGCCGCCCATCAGTGCAGCCTAACAGTTCCAATCAGTGCTGCCTTTTAGTGCCCATTTGTGTTGGGATTACCAGGGATCTCTATCAATGCCCATCAGTGTCACCTATCAGTGCATCCTCATCAGTGCCGCCTATCAGTGCCCATCAGTGCAGCCTATCAGTGCATCCTCATCAGTGACACCTATCAGTGCCCATCACTGCAGCCTCATTAGCACACATCAGTGAAGGAGAAAAATTACTTATTTAATAAATTGTATAACAGAAACTAAGAAAAAACTTTTTTTTCAAACTTTTCAGTTTCTTTTCATTCATTTAGCAAACAATTAATACCCCAGTGGTGATTAAATACCACCAAAAGAAAGCTCTGTCTAAAAAAAAATGATACAAATTTTGTTTGGGTACAGTGTTGCATGACCGCACAATTGTCATTCAAAGTGCAACAGTGCTGAAAGCTGAACATTTGCCTGGGTAGGAAGGAGGTGAAAGTGCCTGGTAGGCAAGTGGTTAAACTGCAAGTGCAAGGCTTCTCTCTGAGTCTCATCATTTCCACTCTAATGCCTTCCAGCCGCTTTTCCTATATCCTTTGCTTTTTCTTTCTTGCTGTGCTTTTCAGTCATGTCTCTCTACCCTTCAGCAGAGGCCTTTATATCTGCTGCCTCGGTATACAACACAAGGCCGCTCCCTGGATACCGCAGAATCGAATTGTATTGTATTTTGAGGCAACAGAAAAGCTCCTCCACCTAAACAGATATCTCGAGATAAAAGAGACAAGAGCAGAGCGCCGTTTTTTTAGTAAAAGCTGCAGGTGGGCACACACAAGCCATTAGATCGCAAACATCTGACGCCGCAAAGCCCCCCTACGTTGTGATTCGATCCAGGCCTCAGAGACGTTAAGCAACATACAGCTTCTGTTTGCCTCCAACGTGCGCATGAAACACATTTTCACTTTGTAATGAGACTGCGAAGACGGTTAACCGCTCACTCACTGCGGCATCTGGCCTCATACACCTCCTGGCTGCAGAATTGGAAGGATTTTAATCTTCCTGCAGAATCTTCTGGAAAGCTGGACTCTGTCCAGCAGGATTCTATGAGAACAACACAGAGAAGTGTGACTCTGTCAGCCGGCTCTCCTCTCCGCTGGTCTAAGTCCCTTTTAAATGCCCCTCTGGGGACCTTTTCTCAGCAATGAGATTTCTGGCTCAAAGCTATGGCCCTACAAATCACTTCTCGGCCTCTTTTCCTGTGGAGACCTGCTGGAGACTTGTGTTTGTGTTGGCCGGGAGCCCTCGGTAGGGGGGAAGAAAGCAGTCCCCCCACCTTCCCCATTACACCATGGGCCCAGCGGCCCTCCCGCGGAAGCCCCCCCACTGCAGACTTAACAGAGAAATGACATTGCATGCCTGGGGAAAGGGGGGGGGGGGGGTTAAAAAACAAAAAGGATTCCTTTGGTAACAAAAGCATAGACAAAGGTTAAAGCACAGTGGCTCAGTGGTTAACACTTCAGCTTTGAAGCACTGGGGTCCTTGGTTTGAATCCTAGGCAGAACGCTATTTGCATGGACTTTGTATGTTCTCCCTGTGCTTGCTGGTAAAGATATGCCGGTAGGATAATTGACTCCTAGAATGTGAGAGAGGGACCTTTAGATTGTGAGGGCAGGGGCTGATTTGAATGTAAAGAATGTTATTTGATGATGCTATAAAAATCCGTGTAATAAATAAAGTGGTGGGCAGCGCAGTGGCTAAATGGTTTGCACTTCTTCTTGGCAGTACTCGGGTCATTGGTTCGAATCCCAGCCACGGCACCACCTGCTTGGAGTTTGCATGTTCTCCCTGTGCCTGCGTGGGTTTCCTCTGGGTACACCGGTTTCCTCCTACACTCCAAAGACATGCTGGTAGGTTAATTGGCTCCTGTCTATATTGTCCCTAGTATGTGTATGTATGAATGTAAGTTAGGGACCTTAGATTGTACGCCCCTTGAGGGTTAGGGACTGATGTGAATATACAATATATATGTAAAGTGCTGTGTAAATTGACGGCGCTATATAAGTACCTGAAATAAATAATAAATAAATAGTAGGCCTGCGGATGAATTGTTAAAGTGGACCCAGCATCAGCTATATTGTACTGCATGATGAAGTCAATCTAACATGTTTTTAAGCATTGGAGGGGGGGGGGGGGGGGGGTGCTAGAAGGGAGGATTGGGGGATTTGTGCTAAAAGGAGGGGCTTTGTGGGGGGAGATTTATGCTAGGAAGGGGATTTGAGGGCAGAGGATTTCCACTGGGAGGGGTGATTTATTTTGGGAGGGGTGATAGGGGGAAGGTTTGTGCTAAAAGGGGATGTGGGGAAATTTGAGCTGGAAGGGGGAGGGGGTTGGGGGGGGGGAGGAAAGATTTGTGCTAGGAGGGGGATTTTTACTGGATGGAGGGGATTTTTTTGTCTGAAGAATTTTGCCCTGCAGAAAGAATTTACAGTATACTTGTTTTTTTTTTTTGGCGGGGGGGGGGGGGGGGGGGGGGGGGGGAATGGGGTGTTAGGAAGTTTTCCCTGAGACATGGAGGGGCACAGTTTACAATCTTTGCCCTGGGCGCCCTTGTCCTAGCACTGACCCTCTTTCTGTCTGAGGGGAATTTCACAAAAATACTGTAAATGGGGATTTTAGGTAAATAAACGATTTTATTATACATCATTTTTTAACTGAATGTTAATTTTTTTTAATGAATGCATAACTGGACATTTTTTCAGAGTTTCCATTGAAGATCCCTTTTAAAAATGGCAACTGTTTGTCTCAATGTCACTGACTATGGAACGCACACAAGACCAAACAAGTCTGTGATTTCCAGCTCAGCATAAGCCCTGCGTTCCATCCGAAAACACATGACCCGTCAGGCTGGACTGGCATTCTCCCGTATTAGCGCCGGGGCTTGGGTGACGTCACATCCATCCCGGGCCAAGTGCCTCGTCTTGGGTGACCATCAGGCTGGAGCTACAAAAACACACGGTGGATATTTTTACCCCTTCCATTTCACAGGGATGGCCATTTTTAGAAGGACTGCAGAGCAGAGTGGGACTGACATACCAGCCGATATCCCAGACGGGGGTAATGCTGCTAAAAATAAGCAGGGAGGGGATCCACGGACAGAGAATCCCGGGACATTAACAAGTGCAGATCACAAGAGCGCAATAAAATAGTACAGCATGGGTTCTACGATACGCTGGGCGCATGGATAAAAGAGAGCCCAGCCCGGATTATAATGTTTCCAAGTTAGCAACAGTGCAGGAACAACAAGCATCGGTATCAATACGATCATTCAGTCGATCGTTCAATGGAACTAAATGGAACAAAATGTAAAGCGGACTCCTCCATTCTATCCATTTGCAGGGTTTTTTATCAATGTTGATGCTCCCTTGCTGATGGAACTTTGTTGATTGCATCTGATTGCTCAAACAATATCTGCATGTATGTTGGAGAAGTGATTGCAATCCAATCAATAAAAAATGAGCTCCTATTACTTATACTTCCCCGCTTTCACACCACCACCACCCCCATTCACCTAATGGAGAGAAGAAAAGAAGCCATTTGTAAGCTCCAAGTGCTCCAGCTGAAGTTTATAAATGGCTAAGGATGCTCTCCATTGTCACATGATAGTATTGAGGCCTGGTGATTGGTTGCTCAAGCGCCCAACACTGCATTGAGGATAGAAGGGTAGGAGTCACATGTTCTCCATACCTGGAAGTACCAAGTATTGAATTACTCCCTGGTGTGCGAACAGACATTGCCAAGGAGTAAAGTGGGGGGAAGGGAGTGGGGTGCCTGCACGAGCAAAGCATAGGTTCATACAAAGTGGACCTGTCATCAGATATATATTTTCATTGCAAATGCATCATGTTAAATAATACAAAGTACAATCTGATAATAGATGGAGTCTGATGGAGAGAGAGAAGACTGACTGCAGCAGACTGATGACATCATCTCAGCCTAGGTAAAGTCACTGGACTGGAGCGTAAGGATGACTTTTCAATGAAAAGGTGGAGCTTTCTTGATTAATGATACTGTTGCTGTGCATTGCGACATGTCAGGAACTTATTCATGCAGATTTAAAAAATTACTGATAGGTCCACTTTAGGAAATCCATATACATTGTAATCTGATCATCCTACACTTCAGTTGCTTCAGTATTCTATCCATACAAAATGTACAAATTCTATGTATTTAAAATGAAGCAGGGGTGGGGATTTTTTTAAAAATAATTTTAACTAATAGTTTTTAGATTGCATTGAAAGGTACCTAGATTTTTAGGTGATTGTAATGTTTGCTGTAACTGATCAATTTTTTCTAGATTCCATCATCTAGACCAGGCATTCTCATACATTTTCTACCAGAGAAACCCTTGAAATAATTTTCAAGTCTCATGGAACTCCCTGCTAAAACCATTACATCAGTGGTCAGTGGGAAGAATCTCCCTTACATCGGTGGTCAGTGGGAAGAATGCCCCTTACATCGGTGGTCAGTAGGAAGAATGCCCCTTACATCGGTGGCCAGTGGGAAGAATGTCCCTTACATCGGTGGTCAGTGGGAAGAATCTCCCTTACATCGGTGGTCAGTGGGAAGAATCTCTCTTACATCGGTGGTCAGTGGGAAGAATGCCCCTTACATCGGTGGTCAGTGGGAAGAATCTCCCTTACATCGGTGATCAGTTGGAAGAATGCCCCTTACATCGCTGCTCAGTGGGAAGAATGCCCCTTATATCGGTGGTCAGTGGGAAGAATCTCCCTTACATCGGTGGTCAGTGGGAAGAATGCCCCTTACATCGCTGCTCAGTGGGAAGAATGCCCCTTACATCGGTGGTCAGTGGGAAGAATCTCCCTTACACATCGGTGGTCAGTGGGAAGAATGCCCCTTACATCGGTGGCCAGTGGGAAGAATGCCCCTTACATCGCTGTTCAGTGTGAAGAATGTCCCTTACATCGGTGGCTAGTGGGAAGAATGCCCCTTACATCGCTGTTCAGTGTGAAGAATGCCCCTTACATCGGTGTCCAGTGGGAAGAATTTCCCTTACATCGGTGGCCAGTGGGAAAAATGCCCCTTACATCGGTGATCAGTGGGAAGAATCTCCCTTACATCGGTGGTCACTGGAAAGAATGTCCCTTACATTGGTGATCATTGGGAAGAATGTCCCTTACATCGGTGATCAGTGGGAAGAATGTCCCTTACATCGGTGATCACTGGGAAGAATGCCCCTTGCATCGGTGATCAGTGGGAAGAATGCCCCTTGCATCGGTGATCAGTGGGAAGAATCTCCCTTGCATCGGTGGTCAGTGGAAAGAATGTTTCTTCAGCTGCTAATACATTAATCATTTTCCTTTCAACCAAAGACTTCCCCACCATCAGAATACAATAATTAGTGCTGCCCGACAGGCTGGTTGTACACAAGTCGAGTGATAGATTGTCTTGTATACAACCAGCCTGCCCATACGTGGATAAGAAAGCTGGTCCCTGCTGAACTGGCCAAATTTCAAACCATGTATGGTGGCTCCACTTTGGTGGTCAGTGGGAAGAATGCTCCTGAATATCAGACCTGCCTTTGGTGAACTGTCCATCTCTGGGTGAGGTGCTCTTTTCTTATGCTGTTCTTTTCACTCCCTTAGTTTTTGTTAGTTAAGATCTTCTTTTTGAAGAAAGGCTGCATGCATAATGGGTGTGGATTTGTATCTTGACCTCCCAGGTTTAATGTCTGGTGTAGTGATGTGATTCTTAGAAAGATGTATTTTCCCCCAGTTGCACTTTTTGCTATAAATCTATCTTTTGTTTGACAGCAGATTTTGCATGTATTTATTTTCTTTTTTGTGTAAATATATATATAATTATTATTATTATGCAGTATTTATATAGTGCCAAAGGGTTTGCTCAGCACTGTACAGTAGCAAATTTATATATATTTATTTATATTGCAAATAATTATTTATTTATGTATATTCTGTATATGGATTTTAAGTTTATTGATTTCAAGACTTTTAATAAAGAAAAACTGGGTAGATTGTTCCTCACATTAGTGATCAGTGGGAGGAATGCTCCTTACATTGGGAGGAATGCTCCTTACATTGGTGATCAGTGGGAAGAATGTCTCTTACATTGGTGATCAGTGGGAAGAATGTCCCTTACATTGGTGATCAGTGGGAAGAATGCTCCCTTACATTGGTGATCAGTGGGAAGAATGCCCCTTACATTGGTGATCAGTGGGAAGAATGTCTCTTACATTGGTGATCAGTGGGAAGAATGTCCCTTACATTGGTGATCAGTGGGAAGAATGCTCCTTACATTGGTGATCAGTGGGAAGAATGTCTCTTACATTAGTGATCAGTGGGAAGAATGTCTTCTTACATTGGTGATCAGTGGGAAGAATGCCCCTTACATTAGTGATCAGTGGGAGGAATGCCCCTTACATTAGTGATCAGTGGGAGGAATGCCCCTTACATTGGTGATCAGTGGGAAGAATGCCCCTTACATTGGTGGTCAGTGGGAAGAATGTTCCTTACATTGGTGGTCAGTGAGAGGAATGCTCCTTACATTGGTGATCAGTGGGAAGAATGTCCCTTACATTGGTGATCAGTGGGAAGAATGCCCCTTACATTGGTGACCAGTGGGAAGAATGTCCCTTACATTGGTGGTCAGTGGGAAGAATGCCCCTTACATTGGTGATCAGTGGGGAGAATGCTCCTTATATTGGTGATCAGTGAGAAGAATGCTCCTTACATTGGTGATCAGTGGGAAGAAATGCTCCTTACATTGGTGATCAGTGGGAAGAATGTCCCTTACATTGGTGGTCAGTGGGAAGAATGTCCCTTACATTGGTGGTCAGTGGGAAGAATGTTCCTTACATTGGTCAGTGGTCAGTGAGAGGAATGCTCCTTACATTGGTGATCAGTGGGAAGAATGTCCCTTACATTGGTGATCAGTGGGAAGAATGCCCCTTACATTGGTGGTCAGTGGGAAGAATGCTCCTTACATTGGTGGTCAGTGGGAAGAATGTCCTTTACATTGCTGTTCAGTTAGGCTGGCCATATAAGGACTATCTTTTTTTAATCAGCCAACAGATTACCCCAGCCACACAATCAAGGTGGATGGAGGAAGCATCTCTGCTTCACTTTTGTAATGACAGCAGGGACTCCTTCATTGTCAGAATACACTGATTAGCGAATCAGCTGATTGGCTGCCAGTGCTGATCAAGTGAAAATTTTCCAACAGTCCCATTTGAGAGAAGCCAGTTGTTAGATTGACTTCTCTGGAGTGGGAATGGTCACAGATGGATCAAAATTCAGCCAGTCCAGTCCCTGCTGAACAGACGAATTTTGGCCAGCTTAACATTGGGGGCCAGCAGGAAGAAAGTCCCCTAACATTGGTGGCTGGTTTAAAACACACAAAAGAAATACAAATTGAAAGGGCGTTTATTGAATACACATATCACCATTTCATATCTAATTCTGAAAGTAGTTTGGAACATCTGGAACAAAAGACGGACGTGTGTTACCGCCGAAAGAAAAATATTTGTTAATACGATTGAAGATTGGAAATGATTGTAACAGTCTTGTTCGTTATATGATTTTTATTTTCAAGAAAAGCTTTTGGGGTTTACCCCCTTCTTCTACACACACGCACGCACACACGCGCACACACACACACGCGCGCACACACACGCGCACGCGCGCGCGCACACACACACAGCTCTGTCTCTACAGCTGTTGCCAAGTCCTCTTCCTTCAGACACACAACATCTGCACCCTGTCAAACACAAACTAAACACACTGGAAGATGAATACAATGGGAACCAGTGGGGGGGGGGGGGGGGGGGGGCGGGGGAGGGAGTGGAGGGGGGGGGCTTCTACTGTGAAATGTCACAATTCCTCTGCCGCTTCCTACCTGTTAACCCTTCCATCTGCTGAGCCTCTGCCTGCCTGCTACTATACAAGTCTGCATGAATAAATTCCAGACATGTTACAATATACGACAATAAAGCTCCACCTTTTATCATTAAAAAAAACCATCCTTGAGCACCAGTCTTGGGACTCTGCCTAGGCTGAGATGATGTCATCATTCTGCTACAAGCAGGAGGCAGCATTTCCCCCTCTCCCAGTGATCAGACTGTACATGGTAACTTTGTAGCAAGCCTCAAAGTGAGAGGCTGCAGCAGGGGCTGATCGGTGTCAGACATTAGTGGACAGAGCCAAGAACTCCACAAGCAGTATCATTTGTATTGTAACTGTGTATTGCACTGTAATATAACAATATAGTATGTGATATTAAACAGGATTTTTATAGTGCCAACAAGTTTGTAGACAGCTTTACAAAATAAAGGGAAACAGTACAGTTACAATACAATTGAACACAAGAGGGTTAGAAGGGTCCTGCCTACAATCAGTATACATGTGTTGCACTACCCCCTTAGGAGCCACTGAGTTTTGGGTTCTGCTACAGCTCTGCACAGCCAGGCAACATGTATTTTCTTCCTCATCTGCACACTGGAGACAGTAAAGAGTCCTCAAGCTTGGTTTTGTGATTTTATTAAAGGGGTTTAGAACTTGGATGGGGTTGAAGGATGTAAGGGCTGCCCAAGGAAAGTGTGAACCGAGAGAAAACCGTGAACTCCTTAGCAACTATGTACAAGTCCGTGGACAAAAAGTCTCTCCTTTAAAGAGCTCTCCGGCTCTCTGGTGTACCTCTTCAGATCCCAGATGAATCCTCCTCTTCACCCAGATGCCTGAGCAGGGGCGGACTGACCATTTGGAAACTCGGGCACTGCACGAGGGCCCGGGGTCAGTAGGGGACCCCATGAGATGCCCCTGGTACCTTTTTCATAGGCTTTTCTGAGTTTGGGCAAGGACACAGGGGCCCCATGATCCCCTATTGCCCAGGGGCCCCATGAGTTGTCAGTCCGCCCCTGTGCCTGAGGGTATGCCTAGGCAAGGGGACCCAGAAACTGCCAACTTAAGAAACATTCCCAGATCTAGAGCTATCTGGGTTCTCCACCCAGCTGCACTCTCCCCTTTTCCAGCCCAGGGGTGTAAGGTCACTCACACTGTCTTTGCTGATAGCTCAATGGGTAGGTGGCTGCCTTCAGGCCTTTTGCTGGGCTGGCTTATTACCTGTTGTTCAGGCTGTCCTTCCTGGAAGACAGTGGTACAGTGGAGATTACCTTTTCCAGCACCAGCCTGCAGGTAGGCCACATCCCTGGGCCCCATACCAGGCTCCACACTCCAGCCTTCACCCCATCTTCCACCTGACACTACTCCTCCTGCTGATCAGGCGTTCTCATATTTAAGGGCTGTCCTGGCCCCATACCAAGCCTGCAGATCAGCCCCTCCTCACCCCCACCCACTGCCTTCTAGAAACTTCTACAGCTTCTAGAGCAGGGGAAGTATCAGGGTAATGACCTGCAGAGCCCTCAGCCCTGACGTAAAATAACCTGGCTGACTCACACCCAGGCCAACTCATCCCAAGCTGCTACTCAGCCTATACCTAAAAATACTAACTAGTTCCCCCTAGCTAAATTTGAGGGGCGCTACACATGGATATTGAACATGCTTCAGGTTAGTATGCCTAGAAAGTCTCAAACTGGTGGGCTGAATAATTGCTCCCAACAACTGTTGAATTATACATCACTACAGAATGCAAAAGGTGCAAGGTAAACCACTACATGGCAGGTGGAGCAGATATTTAACTCAGCTGGAAGGGTTTGAATACCTGTGGAGACCGGGCAGCAGTGAATTCATGGCTCCCTGAAAAGGTAAGAACAGATCCTCTTCCTGATGCATTTCAGGGGCTCAAATATTTTCTCCCTCCTTCATGGCTACGAAACAAATATGAACACATACATTTTTACATAGGCTAAAGGGTATGTAAACCCTCACCTTGTAAAACAACAGTTTAAAATGGAAATGAAAGGTAAATCATGTATGTATATACCTAAAAAAAGAGAAAAAAGGTGTTTATAATTTTTTTTTTTTTACAAGTCAGAGTAGCATAGAGAGGTGAGGGAGGAGAAACATAAGCGCACTGATCTTTGCAGTGATAGGCTGTGCTGAGGAGGTGGGGGGAGGTTAGCAGAAGTCTTATCATTGAAGTAGAGCAGGCTGATTTCCCAGCAAAGCTACAGAACTGACCATGCTGTGTTCTCATGGCTAAAGCATGAGGGACTGGCAGGGATTTCACAAAAAGGAAGCAATACAAAGATATTAGGATACTTTTTCATACAAGTACATGGTACAGCAGGCACATATCAGGAATATGAAATGTTGGGTTTACATGTTCTTTAAATTATCTATAATAGGAATTCATATGTATTCATATCTGTTTTGTAGCCCTCAAGAATAAGGGGAAGTCTTTGAGCCCCCGAAATGCATTGACTGCTCTCTGGTGTAGTAGTTTGTTACCCATGTTAATATTAAAAGTTTTTGGACTCGCAGATTGTTCATTTTGCATTAGATTTGATACGCACAAATCTTTAAATCTGGGCTCCCTGTATAAAGAAGGGGTCTCATGTCCATTTTTATTAAAGTGGTTCTAAAGGTTGGAGGTCTTTTCCTTAAGCACTGGTTCACACTGATGCGGTGCGGAATTCTCATCATTTTCTGTGCGAATTCCACATCGCATCTCGTAGGTGTGAATACCCATGCAATCCGATTCTAGTGCGGACCAAAAAAAGGGTCCTGCACCTATTTGGTGCAGGTGCTGTGCGATTAGAGCCATACAAAATGTATGACTACAATCGCACCGCACACAAATCTCATGTGTTTTCACTGGGGTGCAGTTCCTGTGCAAATCACATGCGATATACCGCACCGCATATATGTGAACCCAGGCTAATGAATCCTCTGCATTATTGTACAAACAGATGTTCAGCTTTCCCCATAGCCCCCCTCCTATGATTAAACCAAGCCTGATCTCAATCTAGCGATGTGCATGAGAGCAGTGGCTCTCCGCTCTCTCCTTGGCTCCTGCTGCTGTCAATCATAGGCAGTGTGGAGGGAACGGGAGGCAGAGTGGAGCCGCAGGCAACCGCACTTTTATGTCTATGGCAGGCACTCGGCAGTGGGGAGAGGAGCCAGAAGTGCCGGACAAGGATTCGAGAAGAGGAGGATCGGGGGCTGCTCTATGCAAAACCATTACAGAGCAGGTAAATATAAAATGTATATAATAATAAAAAATTCTGGGTTGGCAATCACTTTAATGTGTTCTGTTCCCTGGGGGTGGAGAGAAGATAGCTGCTTTGACAGGCGGCACTTTTCTCCTTCTTCAAGCACTTGCCTGATTGCTTGAAACATTTTAACTGGCACACCCCTTCCCAGGGGCGGACTGACCATTTGGAAACTCGGGCACTGCCCGAGGGCCCGGGGTCAGTAGGGGGTCCCATGAGATGCCCCTGGTACCTTTTTCATAGGCTTTTTTGAGTTTGGGCAAGGACACAGGGGCCCATGATCCCCTATTGCCCGGGGG